TCGAAAACCGAGTGCAGACCCGGACTCGCTGTCCAACGAGTTGAGTATAACACACCTTCAGTATCAGCAGAAGCGCGAGGACCTCTTTCTCGGCCGGGTGATAATTCATCTCAGCATCCTTCAAAACACGTCCGCAGAAGCGAACGGGGTGTAGTTTGCCCTCGTGCTCTTGCATCAACGTGGAACTTAGAGCCCACTCGTTGGCAAACAGCATAACATGTACGTCCTTCTTCCGGTCAAAATGTCGTAGTATCGGCGCTGCCGAGATCCTCTGTTGGAGCATCGCAAAGCTGTGCTTGGCCGCGGTGAGGTCACCCCCGGCTGGAAGTCCTCGTCCTTAAGCTGGTACAGCGCTGCTCCATAGACCGCGACGTCTTGGATGAAGCGACTGTAATAGTTGAGTGCCCCAAGGAAGTACTGCATTCCTTTCCTCTTTGACGGGAACGGAAGCTCGGTCACCCCAGCCAGCTTCTTAGTGTCCGGTCGGATACCTTTTGCCGAGACTTTGTGGGACAGGAAGTCTACTTTGGACTGCACGAAGATGCTCTTCGTGATGCTGATACTAATACGGTACTCTTCGAACCGTACCAGCAATCGGTCTAGCGTCGCCAAGCACGACTCGAAAGTCTCGGCACCGAAACAGATATCATACACGAAGGACCGGCGTCTGAATACTTGTGTCAACGAGGATTCATCGGGCTCCCCGTTGGTGAACATGTCGGCGATAGGGCTGTTGACTAGTTCGGCTACAGCTCCCTTACCAAGCGAGTTATCTCGGTCGGCCTCGAACTTGGTCCGGAATGGTTTTGGCGCGCCAGTCGAAGCCTCGTTCACCCCAGCATGAGCTTCCTTGTCATGTTCTTCAGCTAGACGTATGCGCTCCGAGAATTTAAACCATCCTCCCTTCGGTTGGACGAAGCCCCAAAGCGCGTTGTCAATCATGCGTTGATAGATCATCGGTGCGTTCTTCAGGCCGAAAGGCATACGCAACCACTCGAAGTGCCCTAGTGCGCAGACGAAAGCAGAGATCTTCCGAGCTCGTTCGGTCATCATAATGGCCCAGAAGCCGCTAGCGGCGTCGAGCGAGCAAAACCACAAGTACGCCTCCATGTCCTGTAGCGCGTACTCCATAATCTCGGTGATCGCATTAACGAGCTTGTAGTCGATACACAGGCGGATATCCACCCCATTCTTCTTCAGGACGATGACGATTGGCGACGCCCATGGGCTGTCCGAGAAGGAGATAAGCCCGGCCTTCAGCAGACCCTTCAGCAATTCGTACAGCTTACCGAGGAAGCGAAGCGGGGTCCGCCGAGCCTTCTGTTTGATCGGCACGTGCCCCTGTACATTGATGTCACATACAACACCATAGGCTGGAGGCGGCAGAGCGTTGCCACTCGGAATCATGATCTTCTCGTGGCTCTTCAGCACATCGACCAGATCCGTCTGCTGCTTCTCGCTCAGCTCGTGACACGAGGCGGCCCCCAGAAAATCGCCGACGATGTGCCGTCACCCTTTGGACTTGGAGTTTGTATTGGATGCTGATTGGTGGATGACTTGGATACGGCGCGGCTGTACCCGTGTGACATGGATGACGACTGTGGGAGAGAAGTGATTTCTCGGGATGAATCCAGCGCCTGACCACAGATGGGCCCAGCTGGCTGGAAGTGTGAATCCTGGGAGTGCACGCCCAGGATTTCAGAGAACACTCAGTCCAGCCGCGGACTTTCCCTTAGGATGAGTGCCTAAAGTCTGGTGGAAAGTGTCTCTGGAGAATGTATCCCAGAGTACACCTCATCTTGCTGTGGCTCAGAGTGCCCCAGAGGATCCAATTACCCTGAGAATCAACCCACTAACTACATGATCATGCGCAGGAGGCCGCTAAACCCGCTAAAAAGCTTGGACTTGTGGAGATACACGCGAGTCTGTGATGTAGCAGATTTGTAACCCAGAGTGCCGCACGATGACCCAGAGTTCACCAGCCTGAGTGCAGGTGACCCAGAGTTGCAAAAAATGATTCTCTGGGTTTGGACCATAAATCCAGACTCTCTATACTGAACGTAAGTGTTTCCCAAGCCAACATCCAAGATTCCTCAGAATTCCCCAGGATTTCAGAAGATGACCCTGAGTGTCACATGATTTTCAGGGATTCAAGCCAGCTCGAAGTCAGTCTGCAATCAAAGTTATGCGTGACCTTGAAGAACCGCTATGGATGCGCAGACTGGATACTTTCGAGGAGCCGAGAGGGAGTCCTGCGCAATATTAAACCAAGTCCAAGGACCCACAATTGATACTTTCGACGCCGTGCGAGAAACGGAGTCGCAAGCCGATCGCAAGTTGGGCCCGCTGAGCCCAAGGTATACTCAAGACAAGACGTTTGACCCCAAGCATAGTGAACAGAAGATATTTGCCCGAAGAAGAATGCAGAAGAGAAAGAAGTAAGAGAGAGAGAGAGAAGTAGCTGATAAAAGACAAACAGAGTTCCTTTTACCCTGTACTGCGCAAGTGACTTCGGCCAAGCCTGCCGACGGAAATCCGGAGGACCCGAGACTACGACCGCGGGACGCTAAGGGCACATCAACGGCGAAGGACAGCCGTGTGTGAGGACTCCTTCAAACTCAAGTCCAGTTAGGTGGGGACCAGCGACGGCCTTGAGCTTCCTGGAGTGATCCACCTATTCCATATCCTAGTTGGGTCACTTGCTGTGCTCGTGGTAGCCCATTTCATATTATTCCAGAGGGTATTCTGGGGTGCTAGGTAGTCGCCTCCAGGATTTTGTATTGACTGTTTGTGTGAAGGGAAGGTAACTGATAGTGATTGTATTTTCCTCCTTTATTGGAGGTGGTGCGCGTTTGTGTGAGTCTCAGGGGATCTAGGCCCCTGAATTTCAGACCTAGTGTGTGTGACCCACCGTCCAAGGGTCCAAAAGAATAAGTGACGGCTAGTTGTAGTGTTTGTATACTCTGTATTTGTTGGTTTTCTCGAGCTAGGAGGGCATTTGGGTAAGGTTTCTTCTGAGTTCCAAGTGCCAGAGTTGACTGAAATCCTGGACCCTGAATTCGTGATATTCTGGGTTTCGGGGGATCTGATTCTCTGGGTTTGCCTTTTGGTGTGGAGGTGCGTTCTGAAGTAGACGTGCACTCGCGCACTTCTTCGACGCTACATTTACAACCGGTGGAGTGCCGTTCCGTCGAAGACAAACGAGCCGACAGGGATTACACAAGGTACCCACGCCAACCAAGGAGTGTGATTCCCAGGGTTTAAAGCTTCGCGGCTGCGAATCTCTGGGTCTCAAGTCGATTCTCTGGGTCTACACCCTGGGGAACAGTCTTGGGCTGCGCTATACGAACCCCCCTGGGCGACAAAGGTTTCATCGGGCCTCGCTTCAGCTGGTGCGCGTGCCCGGATTCGATTGTCGAGGATTTCGCCGGATTCAAGTGTTGAAGAAGTGCTGAGTGCCCGTCAGCTTCAAGCTACCAAGATGCCTGGAGGACGAGGGGCGAAGAAGGGTGGACGCGGTGATGGAGGACACGGTAAGGCGTCACGCCAGTCGCGTCGTGTTCAAGGTATAGAGCCTGAGGAGCACAAGGACCTGGAAACAGTCGTCCGCGACGCTCGGAAGGCGAAGAAGGCTGCTCGCGAGAGTGAGGCAATGCAAGGTGGGGACGTCGAAGCGTCTGCAGTTCAAGATCAGCCTGCTGCTGGATCGCAAACTCAGGAGGGAGAAGTTTCCCCTGCGTTCCAAGGTTCGACGGAGGTGAACTCTGGGTCGCGGATTCCTGAAGTCCCAGAGGAGCACACCCGCGAGGGTGGTGCTCAGGCGTCTGAGGGAAGCGCCAATGCGGTTGAGCCCCCGGAGGTGATTGACTTGGTCTCATCTTCGGACGAGTCTGTTGTGGAAGTGAAGGCGGAGCCCGTGCGAGCGAAGGAGGAGGCGAAGACTCAGAGTTCCAAGGTGAATTCTGGGTTCGCACCACCTGAACCCAGGGTTTCAGCGCCAAGTTCGCAAGCGGCACCCAGGAAAACGCCTGAAGACGACGTCCGGGAAGCTGCTGCTCCTGCTCCGGAATCGGGAGCAGCGGCGTTGGACACGGAGAGCATGGTGCTGTACGTCCGACGTGAAGTCCGACGCTGGAAAGAAGTGAACCCTGGGAAGGTGACGCTCCCAAGTGTCGTCTATGAGTGGCCGACTCCGAAACCGGAGGCCAACTCGTACTTCGCGGCTGCGTACGCAACGGGAGACTACTTCAAGTGGCGTTTGTCTCTGGCGAACCAAGACGAAGCTTGGATCTCTGAGTTCCACCTCGCCCGGTGGGGTGTCGGAACTGCCCAGGATCTCATGGCGACTACGATTCCCCAGAGTATCATGACCGCACGCGAGTGCGTCGCCATGCTGCAGACTCTGTTCTTCGAAGCGGGATTCGAGTTTGTAAACTTGATCCCTGGCTGGTCTTCGACGCGTGCTTCCAGGATTCCAGAAACCCTGGTACGCTCGGTCATGGAGGAAGTCCAGAATTTCATTGCGGTGGAACTGGTCGAGTGGAGATTGGTGATAGCTGGTGTGCCTTTCAAGGTAAACTCTGAAGATCACGCCACACCAAGCGCCCAAGATCAAGCGCCAAAACTGGATTACCACAAGGAAGATGGAGACGGTGATCTATTGATGACGGACTACGATGCGGATCTACTGGGCCGACAGTTTGTCCTGAGATCCAGGGTCACCGGACTCAGGATTTCACAGAGCCCGCGAAGGTGAAGTGATGGTGAGCCGCGATCCAAGCGCCCACAACATGGACCGCCTCGCCCGCAAGTCCCGTCGACGCCATCCGCGCTGTCTACACCGTCGTTGTCTTCTCTTTCAGCGTACAAGTCCTCGACTGGCGTTTCGCTCCAGGGTTCCACTCCCCTGAATTCCATGTCCAATGGACATGATTCTCTGGAGGCGGAAGCCAAGGACGCTGCCCGGCACGTTGCCAAGTGCCATCGGTACCTCGCGTGCTTCAGATGCGCCGATGAGCGGAGTCAACACCAGAGTTCCAAGAGCGAGGTGCGCTCTCGACGCTCGACGATGTCCAGAAAATCAGCTGCGTCGAGTCGCTCGAGTGGATCCGTCCGTGTCCGCGAGGTCCGGGCCCGCTCAAATCGAGCTGAATGTCTTGCGACAACAGCAGGAGTGGCAGGCCCGTATGGAGCAGGAGCAACGCGAGTTTCTCGCCAGAGAACGCCTGGATGCCTTGGAGCGCGAGCGTCTCAGGGAACAACATGACCTGGACGCGCGTCGCCAGATCCAGGAACTCACGGATCGCTTGGTCCACGCTGAGAACACCCGAGGAGAAGCCGAACGGCGTGCGCAGGACGTGGAAGCCCGCCAGACCCAGAGTTCCATTGAAACTCAGGGGATGACCCAGAGTATCACGGAAGCTGTACGTCTTGAGCGGGAGCGCCTGGACGCCGCCTATACTGAGCGCTGGCAACAGCGCGAAGCCGAAGCCGACTCGGGGCGCGCGCGCTGGATTTCCGAGACCTATGCGGGTTGGAAGGAACAAATGTCGACTATGGAGCAGAAAGTCCAGGAGCTCGAAGCGGAGAGAGAGCGAGAGCGGGAGTCTTCCGAGAATATCCAGCGCTTCCGCGCTGGCCAAGTGCGCGACCTTCGTGCAACATTGGCCTAAGTTCAAGCGCGACGCGCAACCGCTATCCCTGATTTGGCAACAAATGTGAGGTCGTTAGCGCCTCTGAACCCTGAAGTTGCAACCCTACCCCAGAAATCCAGCGGAGTAATCAGTGGAAACGCAAGTGTCGTAGGCCAGAGACGGGAGACAGCTGACCCGAAGAACACTTCCGAAGTCGCCGCCTCCCAGCTAAGAGCGACCCTCGCGCAGACTTCCGCCGACACTTCCGGCAGAGTTGCGCGCGGCAAGCGGGGACATGGTGCTACGGAGACCAAGGTGACGCAGGATATCAAGCTTGAGCCTGTGTCTCTAGGGAAAACGTCGGATCCCAGGAGAACAGCGACCTCTAAGGCCTCGCAGGGCTCTTAAACAGACTCCAAGCGCTCTGCGTCCAATAAACACCAGCAGAAGAAGAAGAAGCGTCAGGATGTCAACCCACTCTCGGACTCAGACCCGAGTTCCGATTCCAGCGATGATGACTCGTCCTCTGAAAGTTCGGACGACAGTTCGGACGAGAACCCTGGGGTTAACCTGACGGCGGCCTCTACGGCTCAAGCTGGAACTACGCTCCTTACGTTCCGGCCGTACATCAACTCGAATACTCTGGGTGAGTTCGACACGAAGGCGTCACTCAGAGAACGCGTACAGTGGTGGCAGCGTTTTGCGAACATAGCGGCCCAGGGAGGCTGGTCCACGAAGACGCGAATTCAGGAGCTCAAGTTGAAACTCTCGGGAGCTGCGCGTGACTGGTTCAACCAGTTGCCCAAGCGCACTCAGCGTGACTGGAAGGAGTTGGTGTGTGCATTCAGGAGGAAGTACTGCAAGGCGCGCTCGTCGTACTCTGAACGCTACTTCACGATGGAGATGAAGAACTCAGAGAGCGCCCTGGATTTCTTCTATCGTCTGAACTCCGCCGCTGGGAAGGCTGACATTGACTTTCGCCAGTCTTCGAAGCGTCTGGAGAAGCATATCCGGAGGTTCATCACGAAACTCAGGGACACGCGCCTCAAGACGTCGCTGCAAGGCCAGAGATTCAGGAGTATCGCTGATCTAGAGTACGCTCTGGAACAGGACGAAGATGTCTGGAGTCGCAGCGACCATGACCCTCCGCCCCCCAGAGTTCGTGACTTTCGGGCCGACAATATCCCTCAGGGGCACTTCAAGCCGAAACGTGCAGGACGTGCGTACGTGACTAGGGATGATGTCTCTGACTCTGAGTCGGATGAAGACCCTGAAATTCACGCGCGTTTCCAGGAAATCACGGACGAACCCAGAGTTTTTCAGCCCGAAGTGCGAGCGCGAATTCAGGGTCAACTCGTGAGATCTCTGGAGAAGAAGCTTCTACGTCTATCGCTGGGAGCCTGGCGAGTATGAAGGGTGCCGAGTGGACTCAGACGCTGACGAACGAGGTCTATCGCGTGATGGATAACATGGGATGGCGTCCACCCCAACCAGGATCAAACGCGAACTCTGGATTCCGTTCCCCTCGCCGCGAGAACCCGAATTGGGACAAGTTCTGCGAGAAGTGCGGCAAGTAGGAGCATCCAGAGGAAAACTGCTGGAAAGACGTCAAGTGTGATCGCTGCCTGGAAGTAGGTCATCCAAATCACTTATGTCGCGCGCAACCGTGCGAGTCCTGTGGCAAACTACATCTCGGAAAACCGTGTGAAGACTGGAAGACACTGGAAGCTGTGAAGAAACTCGCCCGCCAAGGTGCACTGAAGGACATGCCGAGCCAAATCCTGGATAAACTCCTGGATGGCGAAGCAAACTCTGGGAAGCCGTCAAACCAATAAGCCCGCTGGGTGGGGACCCAGTACGCGCCGGGCTGAAGAAGGCCCCAGAGTTATGTGTTCTAGTGTATGTAGGGCCGGAGTTGAGAACAAGAACCCAAGATAACCAACAATGCATGACTACTTTGACTCAGGATTTCATGACTTCCCCTGAAAATCAGCATCCTGAACAAGCGAACTCTGGGTCGGTGAACTCTGACGAAATTGTGGAGTACAAGTTGAACCCTGGAGAGCGCTACGGGTGGTGGGAAAACAATGATCCTGACCCAAAGAAACGTGATGTGGTGATGGTGCTGTGAACGATTGCCGAACGAGAGTTCTCCTGGATACCGGTGCGACTGTGAATATTGTGAGATTCGACTTAGCGCGTAAGCTCGGACTCACACTCAAGTCGCACAAACAAACCAAGGTGTCTGGCGTGGGAGGCGTTCCGACGTACATCGATGCCAGTGCTCATGTGAAGATTACTCTCGGTTCGAGGGTGATATATCTCCTGGACGTCTGGGTTGCTAACATCGGCGAAGGGATCGAAGTACTTCTGGGTATGCGTTTCATGTTTGCAGCTGGAGTGAGGATCAGTGTTCGCGAAGGTCTCGTGACACTTCCGGATGAAGAGGCGATCATGATGTGTAGATGGACTCCAGAGGATTGCCTGGGTGTCGACATGCCCGTGGAAACCACGGGTAGTTGGTACCTGGCCCCTGGGGAATCCAAGGTGGTAAAGATTTCGTACGGACCGACGAACCCACAGCGTGAAGTTGTGTGGGCAGGACGAGGTGACCGCTAGGTAACGCACCTGATTTACGCTGCGAGATCCTGGCCGGTCGCTGTGAAGGTGGTCAACATCTCGGACAAGAACGTCTGGATTCACAACAGAACGCCAGTCGCCTGAATAGTGGAGTATGGTTTCTTCCCACGCGCCGAACGCTTTGAGCGCCCTGGTTCTTTTGCGTATCGGGAGTGGCAGACTCTTATCCTGGAGAGTGTTCAGTCACGTGAGGGCAGACTTCGTGCGGAACGCCGGGCTGCGCTGGAGCCATCCTGTGTCGAGACCCCAGAGTATCAGTGGCCTACGAAGATTCTGCCGCGACCTGCTAAGGGCCCCGACATGGCACTGCTTGCCTCGATTCTCAGGAAACCGGAGACGCGTCGCGTGCGTTTCGCGGAAGACGCTGCAACTCAGACCGAAGAAGTGCTCCCTGGAGACCCTCCTGAGTTCCGAGACGTTGCGGTTGATACGAGTGACTTAGGTGACGCTCTGAAGGATGCGGTGACCGATGCTGCCTCGCAGACTGTCGGAATCCCAGAGTGCATGAGTCCTGGAGATGATACGGCCGCCGAAACCCTGAGTTTACAGGTTGAAGTTGGCAGTGATTCTCAGGGTCAGCGGGGCGAGGAAGGTGATTCTCTGGGATTCGAGGTGGATGACGACGATTCTCAGGGTGCTGTCGAAGAATACTGGGATATCCCGATCTCAGAGATGCGGGGGTGCAATGGGCCCCATTTACATAAGTAGGTAGATTGACAGTACATAAAGTAGTTAAGTCAGTACACGGCTAGCGTGTACTGACGGTCATCGTGATTGGCTGAATTGGGGGAGCCAGACCCCATTTCAGCCAATCAGGCGTTGACCTGCATTGAGTGGCTCACATGAGACCAGGGGTAGCCGCCCTGGTCCTTACATAAAACGGAGTTGATTTTACCCAAGACTGACTGCTTGGTCTCATTAAATCCGAGTCTTAACTAAGCTTCCTCATCGCTACGTGTAAGCTAGTAACGGACACACACCTGGCCCGTTACACCTGGAAGCACTTTGTAGTCCTTCCAACGACCAAGACCAAGATGAGCCAAGTCCTGACGTCCGGACCTTCAGGGGCAACCCTGGTGCATGGTGCCTTCCCCCATCTCACGCGGATTGAGTGGGAAGCTCTCCACCGCCTCGCGGCGGTGTCCGGAGAGGCTGTTGTCACCTCGCTGCTGAGCTCAGCGATGCCGGAACAACAGCGCCAAGCTTCCCAAGAATTCATGGAACGCGAGCTCGCCGACGCGAATCGGCGGGTCACAACTCCCTCGCGCTCCTCGAGGATCGACGTCGTCAAACTCGAGACATCGACATACTCCGGTGTGGGTGACGACCGGATTCCGCTGAACCGCTGGTTCCGCGAGATCGACATCGCTATCGCCTCGCGCATGATTGAAGCGCCGGCGGCCAAGTTCAACTTCCTACTCTCCCGGCTGTC